CCAGGATGGTCTCGATCTCCTGACCTCGTGATCCACCTGTCTTGGCCTCCCAAAGTGCTGGGATTACAGACTTGAGCCACCGCTCCCGGCCCTTTTTTTTTTTTTTTTTTTGACAGAGTTTTGCTCTGTTGCTCAGAGTGCAGTGGCATGATCTCGGCTCACTGCAACCTCTGCCTCCTGGGTTCAAGCGATTCTCATGCCTCAGCCTCCTAAGTGGCTGGGACTACAGGCATGTGTTGCCATGCCTGGCTAATTTTTGTATTTTTAGTTGAGACGGGGTTTTGCCATGTTGGCCAGGCTGGACTTGAACTCCTGATCTCAAGTGATCCGTCCACCTTGGCTTCCCAAAGTGCTGGGATTACAGGCATGAGCCACCACACCCAGTTAGGTTCTAAAGCTTTCTTACTGGTCTTCCTGCTTTCACTGTAGTCCTATAGTTTCTACTGCAATCACAGGATTTAATTCTGTGCTGACAATTTTCATGGGCCTGACATTGATTTATTTAAAAACAAAATTTAAATAGTTTACTAGATTCTGGTCTTGAGTTACTTGGTGGATAGTGGTAACTATTAAGAAAGCTAGATAAGAAAGGAAAATTTTTGGAGGGAAAGATGAGTTTTGAGATAACTGTGGGCATTGAAGTGTGAATATTCCTTAGCTAATTATATATATGAAAGTGCAACTCAGAAGTCTTATGTTCTAATAGTGTTGCAAATTATTATAGTGTTGTAGTTGCCACTTGTAAGCTGGTAGGTTTCCTCTTGTTCAATATAATGTCTTATGCATGTGCTGTGGATTCCATATCTTGTGAGGAGATGGAATATCTAGTAGTCACCTTTCAAGCAAAGGAAACCTAGCACAGAACATCTTTATTTGTATATATGCCTCTCCTGCAGTTTTTAAAAGATAGAAACATGATTTATGTTTGTTAGATTGTTTATATATTACTTCTGAGAAGCCAGTAGTTTGTTAACTTTGGGGTTTTTCATATATTTCACTTCCATGAATAGTATACAGTGTTACAGATATCATAGTCCTTAACTTTTAAAACAAAATATTGGAATATTACACATGTACAGAACAGCAAAGAATTTAAAACTGAACACCTGTGTATTCTCCATGCACACCAAGAAATAGGACATTGTTAGTATCCAGTAAGCCTCCTATGTGTTTCTTTTCTACCACACTCTTCCTCCTTTACTGGAGGAGACTGCTGTTTTGAGATTTGTGAGAACCACTGTCTTGCTTTTGGTTTGCCGCTTATGCGTCTACTTTCTTAATTTTGCAAGCTGAGTTTTTTTTGGGGGGGAGAGGGTGGAAACAATAAAATAATAAAATTCCACTGTTAATTTGTGAATGTCAAATATACTTTAAAATATGTTAATTCATTCAAATAATTGTTAATTTATTGCTTGCTTTTTAGGTAACTGTTTATATGTTTATGTTTCTCACTATGAATCCATATTTACTTATAGGATGATGATGATCATGGTGATAATAATAGCTAATTTTTATTGATTTTAAATGTAAGACTCTGTTCTAAGTCTTTTACAGTATTAGCTTATTTAATTCTCATATCCCTATAAGGTAGGTAAAATTATCCCCATTTAAAGATGAGGAAATAGCAAACCCAATACAAGTAAAGTAACAAGGACCAAGGTCATGCATAGTATGTGGGATTTGAACCCAACCTATCCAGCTCTAGAGCCTACATTCATAACTACTCTGTTGATATTTCTTTTTTTCTTTCTTTTTTTTTTTTTTGAGACCGAGTCTTGAACTGTTGCCCAGGCTGGAGTGCAGTGGTGCAATGTCTGCTCACTGCAAGCTCCGCCTCCCAGGTTCATGCCATTCTTCTGCCTCAGCCTCCCAAGTAGCTGGGATTACAGGCACCCCCTACCATGCCCGGCTAACTTTTTGTATTTTTAGTAAAGATGGGGTTTCTCCGTGTTAGCCAGGATGATCTCGATCTCCTGACCTCATGATCCGCCCGCTTTGGACTCCCAAAGTGCTGGGATTACAGGCGTGAGCCACTGTGCCCAGCCTTCTGTTGATATTTCTTTCTTTCTTGGCTTACCTGAAACAAGAAATTCGTAGAATTTTAAGTATTAATGAACTAGGAAAAGCAGTGAGTTCCTATAAGAGGATACTTGTAAATACTTAAAAAAAAAACTTTATGTAAAACTCTTGTTTTTTTGTGACAACTTTTTTTTTGTTTCTATGGTCTACATTATCAAAAAGTGCCCTAAATTTTATCTAAGTAAATATGTAAACACATACTGAGTCAATATTTTTACAAAGTTTGTAGTGAATCCTGATAATTTGAAGGTGGATTTGATTTTGTATATTTTAAGTAAGTTCATGATAGTATTCTAATTAATGTAAGAAACTAGTCCAGGCACGGTGGCTCACACCTGTAATCCCAGCACTTTGGGAGGCTGAGGTGGGCAGACCATGAGGTCAGGAGTTTGAGACCAGCTTGGACAACATGGTGAAACCCCTTCTCTACTAAAAATACAAAAATTAGTTGGGGATGGTGGCAGGTGCCTGTAATCCCAGCTACTTGGGAGGCTGAGGCAAGAGAATCACTTGAAACTGGAAGGTGGAGATTGCAGTGAGCTGAGATCACACCACTGCACTCCAGCCTGGGCAACAAGAGTGAAACTCCGTCTCAAATAAAAAAAAAAAAAAAGAAAAGAAACTAGTAAATACAGTAATAAAGGAAGCTTATATTATTTATTTTTCTTGTAATAAATGATATAATAGTACCTTGTTCACATTATACTATGGCATATAAATAAAGATTAAGTTTCCTGTGCTACTATTTCACACTGATGATAAGCTGCTGCTGCTGCTTCTCTTCTTCTCCTCCTTCTCCTCCTTTCTTCTTGCTGCTGCTGCTGCTTCCTCCCCCTCCTCCCCTTTCTCCCCTTCCTCCCCTTCCCCCCTCCTCCCCTTTCTCCCCTTCCTCCTCTTCCCCCTCCTCCCCCTCCTTCTCCCCTTCCTCCTCCTCCTCCTCCTTCTTCTCTGTGAGTATACTTTATGTAGTCATTTTTGTTTACAACTGAAACTCTGGAAAAATCAACATCTTTTCCCCATGAGCTTCTTATAGACACCAGTAAAAGTTTGAACCTTGTGTTCCACAAGATAAGCATCTTCTGACAATTATTTTATTTTTTTTTATGGTACTTGAAAGCAAGTGATGTTTTAAAAACTAAATTGAAATATTTGTTCTTAATATAATTATGTAAATATTTGTTATTGTTGCAATGACTACCTTTCTAGTCTTTTCTGTTTAAGGGGGTTATTACAGATGTTATGGACCCTAAAGTAGATAGCTGAAATTGTAATGTACAATAGGAAGATTTTAGAGATAACCAATTTTAGAGATACAATAGGAGATAAATCTGAAACAATTAAGTTATTGAATTGAAGGGCAAGAGTTGAGAGAGTCTTGACTCTTAATAAGAGCAGCCAAACATTCAGGGAGCTGGATTGGCCAGATGCATGAAAGGTGGGCACAAGTAAATAGCTGAAAATATATGGCTAAAAGCCAGTTATGTTTTTACATTTCAGACAAGCCATTGGTATCTAAATTTAAACTGCTTTATATTCAGTTTTCATTATGGGGGGCATTGGCCTCTATTATTTTAGAGACAATTTGGTGTCTAAAAGAAGAGTCTTTTTATATAGTGACATTGTTTAGGAAGCCTGTTATCCCTAAAGGACCCATAGCAGGGCATTTTTCTTGCTTTTAGAATATTTTGATTTGTAACCGAAGTTCTTCTACCTTTAAGTTACCTCATTCTGTCTTACATGTAACTCTAGAAATGTAATGGTTTCAGCTATGAAAAGTAATGGTTTTGATGTGAATTGTAAGTTATTTATACCTAATTCCTAATGTGAGTCAGTATTGATCATACATCTTTTAAAATATGTATAAGATTAACATTGTATGTTTTATTTGATGTGACATTTAAATCTATGGGCTTACAGAGTTTTAGTTGTATTACGTAGTCAAACTTTAAAATAATCTTTGCACTGAGTCATCTGGTTAAAAATATGTGAGTAATAAATCTAATTACATTTTGGCTGGGCACGGTGGCTCACGCCTGTAATCCCAACACTTTGGGAGGCCGAGGCGGGTGGATCACGAGGTCAGGAGATCGAGACCATCCTGGCTAACATGGTGAAACCCCGTCTCTACTAAAAAAAAAAAAAAAAAAAAAAAAAAAATTAGCTGAGTGTGGTGGCGGGCGCCTGTAGTCCCAGCTACTAGGGAGGCTGAGGCAGGAGAATGGCGTGAACCCGGGAGGTGGAGCTTGCAGTGAGCCGAGATGATGCCACACTGCACTCGAGCCTGGGCGACTGAGATTCTGTCTCAAAAAAAAAAAAAAAATCTAATTAATTTTTGTTCATGTGATGAAGACTAAAGATTGAACTGTACTCTTTTGCATGAAATAATGGAAATGTATTTTTGTATAAAAGTATGAGAAGGTATAGATATAAAAGTTTTGTGTATAAGTAGGCCTTTCTAGTTTCTAAAGGTAATTAAATCCTGGAAAAATCTTTCTTCTTTTTGTCTGAATAAACAAAATGCATTATAAATTAAAAATCATTTTTATCACTTATAATAATGGATTCATGTGTACAAAAAAACTCTCATATAAGAGGTTGTACATGTTAGATAATGACACATGCCTATAGGTGGGGCTAATATCTTGTTTAGAAAACAGTGTATGAGGAGATGAGGAATCTAGGAAGTAGGATTCTGTACCATGGAACATTGCCATAATGAATTTATTCTAGGAAAAGTTCAAAGCATGTAATACCTACTGTTCATTTCCATGGTCATTATAAAACTCTTAAGGCACCCTGTGATCATGTTACTTAAATAACCCAATTTTCAATAGACTTTGTAACGTAAATTAGTAAAATGGAGTTTCCTCCAAAGTATACCCTCTCAGTCAATGCATGTTGTGTATAGAATTACTAGATACAAGTCAATTAGGTTTTGCAGAATAATTTTCTAAGAATGACAGTTTTGATTTTATATTGCTCGTTATAATATTAAATAACAGGAATAACTTTTAATTTAATGAATTGCTTTTTATCAGTAATTTATTATATGCATAAAGAAATACACATCGGCCGGGCTGTCTGTATGCAGCTGATTGGGAATTTGTTTTAAGGCGTTAGGCTACAAGCTATAAAAATGAGATAAGAGTGATCTTAAAATATATGCTTGGTATATCCAATTGATGCTTAAAATATAAATTTTGACTTCTTTTAGGTTCCACAAATCAACAAGACTTTTCTTCAGGGAAAAGTGAAGATTTGGGAACAGTTCAGGAGAAGTCCACCAAAAGCCTTGTTATAGGTCCTCTTGATTTTCGTTTGGATAGCAGTGCGGTGCATAGGATTTTGAAAATGATTGTGTGTGCCTTGGAACATGAATATGAACCATATAGCAGGCTAAAATCAGGTTTGTTTCTGGATTAATTCTGAATCTATTGCCATTTGTTTTGAATAATTATATAGTGCAATTTGTGTTGTCTTGCTAACTTTACCTTTTTAGTGTAATTTGCCTGTTTGCAAGGACTTTGATATATGTAGCTGTTTATTTAAGGAATAAACTTGTGTGTAGAAGTTGGAGAGGTCAAGATTTGAAAGTTATTGCACAAGTACTTTATTTGCCAGTATTTGTCAGTATTTTATTGCTATACCTTTTTTAAACTTTTTCTAGTGGATACTTGTAAATATGACTATTTTGTTTTCACATTAATGGATTGTAAGGAGCCAGATATAAAGTTGGGCTCTAAATACACAAATTTAACATTCAAGAAAACTTAGGCACTACTGGTTTTAAAAAAATTGCTGTGCAACTAATTTTTTCTACATGGTAGATAGCTATGGTTGTCATCGTTTCATAAAATACAAATTCCTTTTTAAAGAAGTAAAGCAATTCTAGAGTAGAGCATAATAGTGTAATGAGGAAGTATAACATAATGAAGAACTCACCCTGTGGAGTCAGACTATGGTTTAAAATTTGCCCCTCACTTCTTAGTATCCTTAAGAAATTTAATTAACATCTTTGATATTTCATTTCTCTGTCTCCATAATAAGTTTAGTTATTGTGACAGAGATGGCTAATTGTCTCCTCAATATCCAGTTTTTTTTCACAGTAATAGAAATTTCTGTAACAGAAATAAAGACTATACATTTAAGGGATAGTCGTATGACTAGGTTCTGTCTACTGGGATGGGAGCAGAACTTTATGTGATGTTTTGGGCTATGACTTTAAAAGCAAAAGAGCATGCCTGCCTTCTTTTCTTCTCTTCTTTCTTCTGGCTGGAAAGTGAATACAATGATATGGGCTGGACCTGCCATTTTAGATTCTGAAATTAAAGCTGCATACTGAGGATGATAGAGTAGCAAGATAAAAAGCACCTAGGTCCTCAGTACTGTGATGGCACCATGTCAGCCCTGGATACTTTAGACTCAGATTGTTTTACAAAAGAAATAAGGACTGAGCATGGTCACTCATATCTGTAATCCCAGTAGTTAGGGAGGCCAAGGCGGGAGGATTGCTCGAGCCCAGGAGTTTGAGACCATCTTGGACAACATGGCAAGACCCTGTCTCTACAAAAGATTTAAAAAAAAAAAAAAAATTAGCTGGGTGTGGTGGCATGAGCCTGTGGTCCCTGGGCCGAGGAGGGAGGATTGCTTGAGCCTGAAAGGTTGAGGCTGCAGTGAGCTGTGATTGTGCCACTGTGCTCCAGCCTGGTCAACACAAGACCCTGTCTCAAAAAAAAAAAAGAAAAAAAAAGCTTCTCTTTTTGTTAAAATTTCTATTACTTTACTTTTGTCCCAGCAACTTTACTGTTATCTTAAATGATACACTGATGAGATCTACTTCCAATGATTGTTCTGAGCACTAAATGAGATAGTGCATGTAAAAGCACTTAACACAGTGTACAGTAAGTGCTTGACACATTCATGCATTCGTTTATTGTACCTTACTTGAATGCCTACCCTGTGCCAGATGTTCTTTATGTGCTAGGATAGTATAGCAAACAAGACATACAAAGCCTTTGGTCTCATGGAGCTTATATCCTCACGGGGTAGACAAATAGTAAACAAATAAAAATATCATTTCAGTCATTGATAAATACTAGAGAAGAAAAATAAAAAAGTTTGAGGAAGAGTGCTTGAAACAGAAGGAGGGAAGAGCTGTTTTAGTAGGGACTTTAGGAAAGTTTTCTCTGGAGAGTTTATATGTGAGCTAACTTGTGAATGATGTAAAGGAGTGAATCATGCATGTATTTGTGAAAAGAGCGTTTTATGTAGACAAGTGCAAGAGCCTTGAGGTAGGAACAGTTTTGGCAGTATACAGGGATACAAACAGACTAGAATAGCTGAAGCACAATAAATGTTTGTAAGTCATAGAGGTAGACATCAATCACCCTGTCGGGTTTTAGGGACCACGCAGTCTGGATTTTATTCTAAATGTGATGGGAACTCATTGGTAAGTTTAACTTATTATTTTAATATTAACTTATTATTAACTTATTATTAACTTATTATTTTAATAGTAAATAGTATGGTTGGCATATGTTTTCATTTAAAAATTTTAGATTTTCCTAGTTTTACTTGTACTCATTTGTGTGTATGTGTATTAAGTTGTGTACAATTTCATCACCTTTGTAGGTGTGTGTGTTCACTACCATGGTCAAGAAAGTGAACAGTTCCAATACCACAAGGATCTGGCGTGTTGCTCTCTTACAACCACACCCACTTCCCTACCATGTTCCTTTCTCCTCCCTCTTTTCCAGGGGCTAGGGATAACATTTCTAAAATTTTGTCATTTCAAAAATGTTAAATAAGTGAAATAATACAGTATGTAAGCTTTTGAGGTTAACTTATTTTGCTGAGCATAATTCTCTGGAGACTCATTCAAGTTGTTGCATGTATCAGTAGTTTGTTTCTTTTCCAGCTGAGTAGTATTCCCTTGTATACATATACTACAGTTTGTTAATTCCCTCACTTATGGAAGAATATTTGGGATTACTCTAGTTTTGGGCTATTACAAATAATGCTGCTCTGAACAGTTGTGTACTGGTTTTTGTGTGAACATTTCTTCAGGATAAATGCCTAGGTGTGCAATTGCTGGGTCATAGGGTAGTTGCATGTTTATTATTTTTTTTTCAAGAAACTACCAAGCTGTTTTCAGGAGTGGCCATACCATTTTACATCCCTATCCAATGATGACTGTGTGATCCAGCTTCTTTACATCTTCCCAGCATTTTGTTTTGTCACTGTTTTTTATTTTAGCCATTCTGATAGATGTGTAGTTTTAATTAGCAATCTGCCATCTCATTGTGGTTTTAAAGTTGTGTTTCCTTGTTGGCTAATGATGTTGAACATCTTTTTATGTGCTTATTTGCCATTTTTATTTCTTCAGTGAACTGCATATGTCTTTTGCTCATTTAAAAAATTGGGTTAATCTAAAAGTTTTAATGTGTTTCATTTTATGCTGAAGTATGTCATCACTTTGAATTAATTTTTTCCTTAAGGAGTGAGGTTTAGATAGGGGTTTATTTATGTGTCTTTGAATTTTCAGTTGCACCAGCACCATCCTTTCTTTACTGAACTGGTTTTGTACCTTTGTCAAAAATCAATTGAGCATATTTGTGTGGGTCTGTTTCTCAGTCCTCTAGTTTGTTTTCAGTTAGTAGACCTATGATCTTTCCCACTGTCAGTAGCATGCTTACTTAATTACTGTAACTCTGTGGTAAACCTTTATATTGGAGGGAGAAGTTACTCATTTTGGTTTTGAAGGAACATTTGCTTAGGTTAGAAATAACCTCATTATAACTTTCATTTACATGTATCTCTAATGGAATGTTGGGTTGGCTGTTTCGTTTTGTTTTTGTTTTGAGATGGGGTCTCGCTTTGTCAACGAGGCTGGAATACAGTGGTGTGATCATGGCTCACTGTAGCCTTGATATCCTAAAATCCAGTGAGTCTCCTGCCTCAGCCTCCTGAGTTGCTGGGACCATAGATGTGCACCTCCATGCCCAGCTAATCTTTTTTTTTTGTAGAGATAAAGTCTTACTTATGTTGCCCAGGCTTATCTTGAACTCCTGGGCTCAAATAATCCTGCCTTGGCCTCCCAAAGCCCTGGGATTATAGGCATGAACCACTGTGCTGGCCCTTGATTCTTTTAATATAGATCTACTATTTATTTTTCTCATGTAAAAGTACAAGTTGGTCATTATTCCAGGGAGATTGTTTTATGGGATTGTCTTAGACCCAGATTCCTTCTGTTTTATTGTTCTGCCAACCCCAGAGATATGCCATATATACATGGTCAATTATTGGGTCACCATTATAGTGTGTAATTTTAATCAGGAGGAAGGGGGAACAAGAGCATAAAGGAAGGTATGTAGTTTTATTTATTTATTTATTTAAGAAGTAGTCTTGCTCTGTTGCCCGGGCTGGAGTGCAGTGGCACGATCTCGGCTTACTGCAACCTGTCTCCCGGGTTCAAGACATTCTCCTGCCTCAGCCTCCTGAGTAGCTGGGATTACAGGCGGCTGCCACCATGCCCAGCTAATTTTTGTATTTTTAGTATAGATGGGATTTCACCATGTTGGCCAGGCTGCTCTTGAACTGCTGACCTCAAGTGATCCACCCACCTCGGCCTCCCAAAGTGCAGGGATTACAGACGTGAACCATCGCGCCTGGTCTGTAGTCTCATTTTACGGACATGGCACTCTCATCCCATTGACCAAAACAGTGACATGTCCCTGCACCTAACTGCAAGGTAATCTCTAGGAGGAGTCCATATACCTGACTTGAATCCAGAGGGTTTTATTGCTAAATGAAAGAAGGAGAAAATGAATACTCCTGGGCAATTAGCAATCTCTGCCACAGTAGACGTATTCTCTGTGTGTGTGTGTGTGTGTGTGTGTAATCTGTATTTGAAGTTTTGAAGCAGTCTGTCATCTCAAAAATGTGATGTATATAAAGAACCTTCTAACTGACTTTATTTTTATATACGTGCAGTCCTCACTTGCCGTGATGGCTTGGGACTATAGAAAGATCGTGCAAGGTGATCTTTATCAGTGTGAAGAATTAAGTTGTTGCACAATCTTTAGAAATTCTTGTCAAAACATTAAACATTCTCTTACTGTTGGTTATAAATGTATAGAGAAATGAAAAAATTTTAAAAGGAATATTCAAAATTAAGCCATTTTATTTCTTTGAATAAACTTAAGAATTGTTCAAACAGTTTTTTTCTCCTTCTTGTATAACTTACAATATGACGTGTCTCTCTTATGCCACCTTAGCAAATTTTCATACTCCTTTCTACGTTTGGATAATATTCTAACATTTTATCCTACACAGTCTGTGAGGGATTTCTCTGTTGCCCAGGCTGAAGTGCAGTGGCACAGTATTGACTTATGCAATCTCTGCCTCCTGGGTTCAAATGATTCTCCTGCCTCAGCCTCCTGAGGAGCTGGGATTACAGGTGTGCTTACCTGGCTAATTTTCTTTTTTTTAGTAGAGATGGGGAATCGCCATGTTGGCCAGACTTGTCTTGAACTTCTGACCTCAGGTGATCCGTCCAAGGTCCACCTTGGCCTCCCAAAGTACTGGGATTACAGGCGTAAGCCACTGCGTCCAGCCGAATTTTGCAAACTTAGCCACATCTATGTAACTAACTGTTTAAGAAACAGAAACTTACCAGCACTTCAGAAGTCTCCATTGTGTCCTCTTCTGGTTACTATTCTGACCTCAGGAGTAAACCACTGGCTGGGCATGGTGGCTCACTTTAAAGAAGTTTGCTGACCTTTGCTCTGTGTGCTTTCTCTATGCTTAGTATTCTCCAGTCTTTTTCATTTTAGCCATTCTAGTAGGTATGTAGTGCTATCACACTGTGACTTTACTTGCAATTACCTGATGTCTAATGATGTCGAGTGCCTCAATGCAGGCACATACTTCTTTTTTTTTTTGAGATGAAGTCTTGCTCTGTCGCCCAGGCTGGAGTGCAATAGTGCGATCTACACTAGTAGGATGCCTTCCCCTACTTACTATACTTATTTATACCCCAAATACCCTAGGCTCATTGAGCACCAGCTTTAGGTATCATTTTTGGCCACTGGATAGACCATCTTTTGCTTATTCAAGTCTTTTTTACCCATTTGTTGTCTGTTTTTATAAAATAAATAATATTTTAATGTGAAATTATAGAAAAACACAATCTCAGAATAAAGATTGTCAATTTTTTTTTTTTTTTTCTTGAGACAGTTTTTCTCCTGTTGCTCAGGCTGGAGTGCCATGGTGTGATCTCAGCTCCCTGCAACCTCTGCTTCCTGGGTTCAAGCAATTCTCCTGCCTCAGCGTCCTGAATAGCTGGGATTACAGGTGTCTGCCACCATCCCTGGCTAATTTTTGTATTTTTGATAGGGATGGGGTTTCACCATATTGACCAGGCTGGTTTCGAACTCCTGACCTCAGATGATCCACCTGCCTCAGCCTCCCAAAATGCTGGGATTACAGGTGTGAGATTGTCTATTTCTTAACAATTTTTAGAAGGTTTTTTATTTTTGTTTTTAATATGCTGTAGATACAAGTCCCTCATGGAGCTGGATCTTCCCCCTCCCCATCCGTCTGTGGCAAATATTTTATCTCAGTCTGTGTCTTGCCTTTTCATTATCTCAATGATATTTTAATGACCAAAAGCTGTTATTCTTTTAAAGAAAGAAAATGGGGATTTCTTAAAGATATATTAAAATAAAAAACTGGTAAATTTTTAAATAACGAAGACATACATTTACATTCGAGAATAGTGTAACTTACATTTGTTAAAGGTAACTTGTTGTTTTATACCTGCTTCATTGTTGAAAAGAAAAACAGGATTTGACCTTATAGTTTGGAGAACTAATTCATTTTTTAGTTAAGAATATTAATTATTTAAAAATATTCTTTATTAAGTTTTTATCATTTTAATTTTAGATATTAAGGATGAAAATGAAACAATACTGAATCCTGAAGAGGTAGCTTTTCTAGAGGAATATATTCCTACTCGACATACAAGTGTTACTCTCCTCAAATGTACCTGCACAATTTCCATGGCTGAATTCAACTTGCTGGACCATTTGCTACCTGTCATTATGGGAGAAAAGGTATATTTTGTGATTTGCTATATTTTTTCCCCTCATATATGGATTTTTTTTTTTTTTTTGTCATTTATTGAAAGAATATCTGCAGCTGGGCACAGTGGCTTGAGCCTGTAATCCTGGAAATTCAGGAGGCTGGGGTAGGATACATACTTGAGGCCAAGAGTTTGAGACCAGCCTAGGCCACATAGCAATCAATACCTTGTCTCTAAAATAAAATAAAATAAAATAAAATAAAAAGTTAGGCATGGTGGCACATGCCTGTATTCCCAGCTCTCCAGGAGGCTGAGGTGGGAGGACTGCTTGAACCCAGAAGTTTGAGGCTGCAGTGAACTATGATCACGCCACTACACTTCAGCCTGGGTGTCACAGTGCGACCCTGTCTCAAAAAAAAAAAAAAAGAAAAAGATAGAAGTGTCTGCTTATATAGTTATCCATGATGAAGTAAAAGCAATGTAGCTATGAACTAAAAATTAACTATGTTAATTTTTAAAATGTAATTTTAAATTTATATTTTTAATAAAATAAACTTAAGCTTGAGGGTATATAAAGAAATGTTGAAGAATATGGGTGTAGAAGTCAGACCGTATACCAGCTATAATGCCACAGACAATTACTTTATATCTCTAAGCCTTGTTTTCCTCTTCTCAGAAAGAGAACAATTATGTTTTTTCAAGCAGACTGACTATTTTAGTTTTAGCCAGTAAAACTGTCAGCCGGCCTAGATTCAGACAGTTTATTACTTACATAGACAGCAGAAGCAAAGTCAGTAATGGTGCAAGCTCCCCTGTCCCTTGTTCCATAGGACAATCTGTAACCAAAGGGCCAAATGACTTCTATTGGTATATCGTGGGGCACCCTGTTGGCAACAATTCAGTTTCATACTGCAGCTAAGCAGTGGTGTAGCTTAGCATATGTCGAAAGCCCATAACTCAGCTGAATGAGGAATGCTGATGAGACACTGTTTCATGGCAGCCTCTCTCAAGATGGGAAGGTGAATGAGAAATGCTCTTTTAGCAGCTCCTCACAAGACCACATATTATCCTCTGTTTTTAGGGTATCACAGGATATTCTACCAAGATCTGCTGTGGTTGAGTATTGCCTTCATGGCATGGATTTGTATAACATTATCAGGATGCTGGTACAGACCAGTCCCGCCACAGTACTTAGCTCCTAGGATTATTTTAAATATTCATTGAAATAATGTATGTAAACTATTTTGCATGTATTAGGAACTGAGTGATGTCTGCTATAATTGTTGAGAATGCTTAATATTTGTTCATGGTCCATGTACAATGTATTGCTTTCTGAATTTAACTTATACACACAAGACCTTATTTGTTTGTTTGCTTTTTGAGACGGACTCTTGCTCTGTTGCCTAGGCTGGAGTGCAGTGGTGAAATCTCGGCTCACTGCAACCTACGCCTCCTGGATTCATGCAACTCTCCTGTCTCAGACTCCTGAGTAGCTTGGACTATGGGCGCATGCTACCACGCCCGACTAATTTTTATATTTTTAGTAGAGACAGGGTTTCACCATATTGGTCAGGCAGGTCTTGAACTCCTGACCTCAGGTGATCCACCCGCCTCAGCCTTCCAAAGTGCTGGGATTACAGGCGTGAGCCACCACACCCGGCCTATCTGTCTTTTTTGGGATATATTTCTTTTGATGTTCGTATAATGATCAGGGTCCCCAACTCCTGAGATGTGGACCAATACTGGTTAGTTGCCTGTTAGGAACCGAGTTTCAGAGGAGGTGGTGAGTGGCGGGTGAGTGAGCATTACCACCTGAGCTGTGCCTCCTGTGAGATCAGCGACGGCGTTCAATTCTCATAGGAGCACAAACTCTACTGTGAACTGTGCATGCAAGGGATCTAGGTTGGCACTCCTTATGAGAATCTAATACCTAATGACCTGAGGTGGAACAATTTCATTCTGAAACCATACCCCTTTTCCTGTCTGTGGAAACATTGTCCTCCATGAAACTAATCCTTGATGCCAAAAAGGTTGGTGTCCGCTGATAGTGATGACCATAGAAATAAAAAGTGTCCTAACTTTAAAGAAGAAGTTATGTGAGGGAATTAACTATATGCATTAACTTTATTTTTGCTCCCTATTGGCCACTCATAATTAAGTATGGCAGTGTATTATGATTAAGAGATCATGTAGAGAAAATTTCACTGGAGACAATTAAAATATGTCTGCATTTTATCATTTCTGTTTTTGCTATCATCTGATTTTTTTAAATAGATACTATTTTTTAGAGTAGTTTTAGATTCACAAAGCAGAGTGAAAGTGGTACAGAGATTTTTCATAAACTCACCCCCCCACATACATAGCTTCCCCCATTGTCAACATCCCTCAACAGAATAGTATATTTGTTATAATTGATGAACCTATATTGACACATCATTATCACCCAGAGTCCACAGTTTATATTAGGGTTCACTCTTGGTGTTTTATGTTCTATGAGTGTTGACTCATGTATAATTATCTACTATGGCAATATCACATAGAGTAGTTTCAATTCCCAAAAAATCCTTTGTGCTCTGCCTATTCATCTCTTCTCCCTAACCACTGGCAACCACTGATCTTTTTACTTTCCTCACAGTTTTGCCTTTTCTAGACTGTCATATACTTGGAATCATATAGTATGTAGCCTTTTCACATTGGCTTCTTTTACTTAGTAATATGGATTTAAGGTTCCTCTTTGGCTTTTCATGACTTGATAGCTGATTTCTTCTTTGCACTTACTAATACTCCATTATGGATGTACCACAATTTGCTTATCCATTCACCTACTGAAGGACATCTTGGTTGCTTTCAAGTTTTGAGAGTTGTGAGTAAAACAGGCATATACATCCATGTGCAAGTTTTGGTGTGGGCATGTTTTCAACTCCTTTGGGTAAATACCAAGGAGTGTGATTGATGGACTGTATGCCAAAAGTATGTTTAGTTTTGTAAGAAACTGCCAAATTGTCTTCCAAAGTGGCAGTATGATTTTGCATTCCTGCCAGGAGTGAATAAGAGTTCCTGTTTCTCCACAGCCCTACCAACATTTGATGTTGTTAGTGCTTCGGTTCTTTGTCATTCTAAGACATGTGTAATGGTGTCTCGTTGTTTTTAGTTTTATTTCCTTGATGACATATGGTGTGGAACATCATTTCATATGCTTATTTGCCATCTGTATATCTTCTTTGGTGAGGTATCTCTTCAGATCTATTCCCCATTTTTTAAGAGTTGTTTGTTTTCTTAATATTGAATTTTAAGGATTCCTTGTACATTTTGGGTAACAGTCCTTTATCAGATAGGTCTTTTGCAAATATTTTCCCCCAATCTGTGGCTTGTCTTTTAATTTTCTTGTATTTTGCAGAGCAGAAATCTTGAATTTTTAGTGAAGTCCTGCTTATCAATTCTTTGTTTTATAGATTGTGCCTCTGGTGTTATATCTAAAAGTCATCACTATACCCAAGGTCATCAGCTTGTATCTTTTAAGAATTGGTCCATCTCATCTAGGTTATCAAATTTGTAGGCATAGAGTTTATACTATTTCTTTCTTTTTTTTTTTGAGACGGAATTTCATTTTTGTTGCCCAGGCTGGAGTGCAATGGCATGATCTCGGCTCACAGCAACCTCTGCCTCCTGGGTTCAAGCGATTCTTCTTCCTCAGCCTACTGACTAGTTGGGATTACAGGCATGCGCCACTATGCCTGGCTAATTTTGTATTTTTAGTAGAGATGGGGTTTCTCTGTGTTGGTCAGGCTGGTCTTGAACTCCCAACCTCAGGTGATCTGCTCACCTTGGCGTCCCAAAGTGCTGCGATTATAGGCGTGGGCTACCGCACCTGGCCTGTCTTTAGTATTTTAAAAATTATCATTTTAGTGTCTTTGGAATTTGTAACAATGTTCCTCTTTCATTTCTAACATTAGGATTTGTATCCTCTTACTCTTTTTCTCAGCCTGGCTAGAGAGGCTTGTACTGATTTTTATTGAGCCAGCTTTTGGTTTTGTTTCTCTGTTGATTTTCTGTTTTCAATTTCATTGATTTCTGTTTTGATTTTAATTCTTTTCTTCTTATTTTGGATTTATTTAATTTCCTAAAGTGTAAGCTTAGGTGATTGATTTTAGATTTTCCTTTTTTGTAATATATGAACTCAATACTATAAACTTCCCTCTAAGCATTGCTTTCAGTACACGCTACAAATTTTGATAAGTTGGATTTTTGTTTTCATTTAATTCAAAGTATTTTTTATTTCTCTTGAGATTTTTTCTTTGACTTGTGTTCTTTAGAAGTATGTTTTTAAATCTCCAAATATTTTGACATTTTTTAGTTATGTTACTGATTTTTAGTTTATGGTCTGATAGCAGACATTGTATGATTTCTTTTTTTTTTTTTCTTTTTTTTTGAGACGGAGTCTCGCTCTGTCTCCCAGGCTGGAGTGCCGTGGCCGGATCTCAGCTCACTGCAAGCTCCGCCTCCCGGGTTCACGCCATTCTCCTGCCTCAGCCTCCCGAGTAGCTGGGACTACAGGCGCCCGCCACCTCGCCCGCCTAGTTTTTTGTATTTTTTAGTAGAGACGGGGTTTTACTGTGTTGGCCAGGATGGTCTCGATCTCCTGACCTCGTGATCCGCCCGTCTCGGCCTCCCAAAGTGCTGGGATTACAGACTTGAGCCACCGCGCCCGGCCTGTATGATTTCTTTTAAATTTGTTTAGGTGTGTTTTATGGCTTAGAATGTGTCTGTGTTGGTGACTATTCTATGTAAGCTTTAGAAGAATGTGTACTCTGTTGTTGCTGTATGAAACAGTCCACTGATGTGTATTATATCTGGTTGATTATAAATTCAATTATGTCCTTATTGATTTTCTGTCTGTTGGAACTGATTATATCTGATAGAGGGATATTGAAGTCTTCAACTAAAATAGTGGGTTTGTCGAGTTTTTTCCCTGAAATTTTATCACTCTTTGCTTTATGTATTTTGACACTGTGTCTTTAGGCACATCCATGTTAGGGACTGATGTCTTTTTACAGAATTGACACCTTTATCATTACTTAATCCCTTCTTTATCTCTGATTGCTTTCCCTGGTCTGATTTTTGTTCTGTCTGAAATTAATACAACCATTCCACTCCCTTTTGATTAGTTTTAGCATGGTATGTGTTTCTCTATTTTCTTTTAATCTACACATGTCTTCATATTTAAAGTGGGTTTTGACTGGATGTGGTGGCTCACGCTTATGATCCCAGCGCTTTGGGAGGCAGAAGTGGACTGATCGCTTGAGCCCAGAAGTTTGAGACCAACTTGGGTGAAACCCTGTCTCTACAAAAAAATACAAAAATTAGCTAGGCATGCTGGTGTGTGTCTGTAGTTCCAGCTACTTGGGAGGCTGAGTTGAGAGGATCACTTGAGCCCTGGAGGTTGAGGCTGCAGTGAGCCATGATCGCACCACTGCACTCCAGCCTGGGTGACAGAGTGAGACCCTGTCTCAAATAAGTACATATGAAAATTTTTTTTAAAAAGTAGGTTTTTTTTCGTAGACAATATATAGTTGGGTCTTGTATCTTTAGTTGCCTTGACAATCTGTCTTTTAATTGATGCATTTAGACCATTGATAAGAAGTTATTATTGATATAATTGGACTAATATCAACCATACTTCTTGCCATTTTCTAGTTTTTGCCCTTGTTATTTGTTCCTGATTTTATCTTCCACTCTTTTTTGGCCTTTTGTGGTTTTAATTGAGCATTTCATATTATTTGATTTTCTCTCCTCTATTAACCTACCTGTTATACTTCTTTTTAGTGTTTGTCCTAGAATTTGCATTATATTTTTACAGCTAATTCAAGTCCACTTTCAAATAACACCATACCACTTTACAGGTAGTCAGAGTTTCTTATAGTAAAAGAAATACTAATTCTGCCATCCTGTTTCTTGTATCATTGCTGTAATTCATTTTACTTTTATGTAAGCATTCATAAGCCTGCTACACACAATCATACATAATTAAATACATATTACTGTTATTATTTTGACCAAATTTATTAGATCAATTAAGAATAGTAAAAATTAAAAGTCTTTTTTTTACCTTATGCCTTTTCTGATGCTTTTTTTTTTTAATGTAGATGTGAAATTCTGACCTTTATCATTTTTCTTCTCTCTGAAGAATTTTTTTTAACACTTCTAATAAGGCAGATATACTGGAAACAAATTCTCTGAATTTTTTTTTTTTTTTTTGTCTGAGAAAGTCTTTTTTTCTCCTTTTGAAGGATAATTTCATGGAGTATGGAATTCTGGGTTTGTAGGTTTTTTTCCTCTTAAAATACCTTATTTTACTCTCTTCTTGCTTACGTCATTTTTGAGTGGCGGTCAAGTGTAAGTCATATCATTGCTCCTCTATAAGTAAGATGTATTTTTTTCTGTGAATTTTTTTGGGGGACTTTATCTTTGATTTCTATGATTTGAAAATGATGTGTCTGTGTGTGGGATTTTTTTTTTTTTTTTTTTTCATTTATCCTGCTTGGTGTTCTCTGAGTTTCCTGGGTTTCTGGTTTGGTGTCTGACATTAATTTGAGGAAACTCTCAGTCATTATTGTTTCAGATGTTTCTTCCGTTTCTTTCTCTCTTTTCTTCTCTTGTGGAATTCTTATTACGTGTATGTCACATCTTTTGTAGTTGTCCCACAGTTCTTAAATATTCTGGGGTTTTTTGGGTTTGCTTTTCAGTTTTGGCAATTTCTACTGAGATACCTTCAAGCTTAGAGATTCTTTTGTTAGCTATGTCTGGTCTTCCAGTATGCCTGTCAAAGGGAAAAATGCTAACAAGGAGGCCTTACTCAGACGGCAGCCCACAAATTTGTATAAAATTTCATTTAGATTGTTGGCTAGTTCCTAAGCTGCCCGTGTGTAATGCAAGACTTCAGGAAACCCAGCAGAAAGCAAAGTATAAATTTGACTATTTGCATGGTACTGTGTATCTGCAATTAGAGTTCAGGCACTGCCACGTTAGCACCTGGGCCTTCCTTTGAGACCTTATAAGGGCCACACCGTAGGAATAAATACAGATTGAAATAGGTTAGTCTAAGAAAGCCTAATTCCAGTCCTGAATAGGACCATGATGATATACTTGTATTCTGTTTGCTTGCCAAAGAACAGTTAACTTACTTTAGGGGAAGATAGCATTATCAAAGCCATTATAATTTTTTATCCATGATGTTATCTGCTTGATACAAAATTATGAGGTATACTAAAAATAGAACCAATTGAATTAAATATAATAAAAAATCAGTAATATAAATAGACTTAGAGATGATTGAGGTATTAGAGTTGTTAGACATGGACTTTATGGTTAATTGCTTAAGGAAAAAGGCAAAAAGGTGGAAGATTTCCAGAGAGACCTCAATCCATTAAAAAAAGCACCAAATTAAATTGTGAAACTGGAAAATGTAAGGATACAGGTTTGAAGGAAAAAGATGGAAAAAATATACCATTTAAATGCTAACCAAAAGAAAGATAGCATGGCTGTTTTACTAAGAGATAAAGTTGATTTTAAGGTAAGAAGTATTACTAGAAATAAAGAGAGCCACTTCATAATGATAAAAGTGTGAACTGAAAGAAACAACAACACAGATAATTCTCACAGGTGTAATCTTGAGTGAAAAATTATATACCATGTGATTTCATTTATATGAAGTTCAAGAAAAGAGAAAACTAATCTGTGGCGATTGAAGTGATTAGCTACGTCTGTTGAGGATTTAGTATTGCCTTGAAAGGGACATGGCACAGCCTTGTAGGGTGCTTCAGATGAGTGGTGGTTACAGATGTAAAAATGCATTCAGCTCTAACCTTCAGATTTGTGTGCTTTATTCTGTGTTATTTTTAGTAATCTCAAAGAAAGTCACTTAAAAAAGCAATGTAATTCCTAAATAAATGGTGATTTTAAAATTATTGGTAATGAGTAAAAAATCAGGATTGTATTTTCAACTTAGTTTTAAGCACAGTGATTCTCAGTAATGGCACTTTTGGTTTTTTGGATTGGAGAATTATTATGTAGCATTTACCATCTTTGGCCAATACCTGCTAAAGGCCAATATTATTGTGACAATGAAAGACAGACAAAGCAATGAAACTGCTCTTCTTGCATTTTTTCTTATTCTTCTGGATGGAAAGTCATGGTGTTCCTCATTGAGAACCACAGGTAGAGCATTTTAAGGGAGTGAGTGAGTGAGTTCTAGGACAGGTCATTTGCCACTCAGTGTACATACGCTGGACATCTTGAAACTTAACTGTATTTATTTGAAAGCTCAGAAAGATTCTGTAAAACTGAGAATACTGTGCCATCCTCAAGATTCTTAGGACTTTGTGAGCCCTTAACATGTGTATTGTTAGTAGATATGGTACAGATCAGGAATTTTTCTTTCCTGCAAACATTTTTTTGGTGAATGTTTTTGACATAGTGTGGTATAGTCCATTTAGTTCCTTAGTCAGCTAAATGTGAATAAAAGAGATTAAAATAAAATATGCTGAGTCTTGGATATATAGATACATTTTGGAATAATTAAGCTTAATACAATATCTTCATCATACTGAGGCATGTAGTGATACTATTCTAGTTGACTGAAAAAGAAAAAAAACTTGAACTGAAAGGGCAATGATAATTTTGCAAAAAATATGCATTCTTTGAAGTCTGGGACATATTTAATATATATAGAAAGACATTTGTTATTTGGTTATGGCAAGAGAGTTCTGTAGAAAGGCATCATTTCTAGATTGATTGGATATCACTGCAAATGTGCAGATCTGAAGCGTGTATAGAGGGAATTGCAACTCAGTCACTGCTCCACTTTTAAAATATAAAGCGAACACTTTTATTTTCTAGAACTCAAGTAACTTCATGAACACTACAAACTTCCAGTCTCTTCGGCCTTTGCCATCCATTCGAATATTGGTGGATAAAATTAATGTGGAACATTCAGTGCCGATGTATGCTGAACAGTTGGTGCATGTGGTCAGCAGCCTTACTCAACCTTCTGATAACCTGCTTCATTATTGTTATGTACACTGCTATCTTAAGGTATGAAAAGTGAATTTTCTTGTTTGTTAGCATGGGTTTGACTGTGGGATCATCACATAAGTTTCTTTTTTCTTGATGTTGTAATTTCAGAGAAATAGTACTCTAAAAGGTAAGATTTAAATAAGAAATAAGATTTATTTATTCCAATAAATTAAAATAAGTAATAAAAATATACTTATTTTAAAGATTTCTTAATTTTGTGAGATTAGTAGCTTGATATTTATAAATGAATAGTTAATTATAACTTTTGAATGATTTTACTTATCATTGATGGTAATTTTTATAAGCAATGTGAAAGAGCACTTAGTTTAATATGGATGCTTTGAAGACTCATGCTTTTTTGAAGGGAGCATTTATGTGAGGCATAATGAGGCATAAAGAGGGCTTAAAACTTTTTTTGTCACCTTTATTTAATTCATGTTAATTTATTGATGCAAGGACAATTTGTTTTATATACAGACATATGCCATTTTATCATGCATTACTTTATTGTACTTCATAGTAATATTGTGTGTGTGTGTGTGTGTGTATGTTTTAACAAATTGAAGGTTTGTGGCAGTCTTGCATTAAGCAAAGCTTTGGTGCCATTTTTTCAATAACGTGCTCACTTCGTGTCTCTGTGTCATATTCTGGTAATTCTCCAAATATTTCACAAGTTTTCATTATTATTTTAGCATTGTGATCTGTCATCACTGTTCTTTGATGTTACTATTGTAATTGTTTTTCGGGTACCAAGAAGTGCACCCATTTAAGATGGTGAACTTAGTTAGTAAATGTTGTGTGTGTTCTGGGTCCTCCACTGACCAGTTCCCCCTTTTCCTTCCCTTATCCTAATCCTTGAGACACAACAATATTGAAGTTAGGCCAATTAATAGCCCTACAATGACCTGTAAATGTTCAAGTGAAAGGAAGAGTCCCATAACTCTACTTTAAATCAAAAGCTAGAAATAATTAAGCATCGTGAAGAAGGCGTGTCAAAAGCCAAGATGAGGCCTGAAAGCTAAGCCTGTTTTGCAAAACAGCCAAGTTGTGAATTGAAAGGAAAAGTCTCCAGGAAATTAAAAGTGCTACTCCAGTGAACACAGGAATGACAAGAAAGTGAAATAGCCTTATTGTTGTTATAAAGTTTGAGTGGTCCAGATAGCAGATCAAACCAGTGACAACATTCCCTTAAATGAAAAGCAAGGCCCTAACTCTCTTCAATTCTGTAAATGCTGAGAGACTTGAGAAAGCTGCAGAAGAAAAATTTGAAGCTAGCAGAGGTTGGTTCATGAAGTGTAAGAGAAGCCATCTCCATAACATAAAAATGCAAGGTGAAACAGCAAGTGCTGACCTAGAAACTAGAGCAAGTTATCCATATCTAGCTCAATTAATTGATGAAGGTGGCTACACTAAACAGATTTTCAATGTAGACGAAATACCTTCTCTTGGACGAAGATGCCATCTAGGACTTACATAGCTAGAGAGAAGTCAATGCCTTGCTTCAAAACTTCAAAAGGCGGCTGGGCACGGTGACTCATGCCTGTAATCCCAGCTCTTTTGGAGGCTGAGGCGGGCGGATCATGAGGTCATTAGATTGAGACCAGCCTGGCCAACATGGTAAAATCCCATCTCTACTAAAGATACAAAAATATTAGCCGGGCGTGATGGTGTGTGCCTGTAATCTCAGCTACTCAGGAGTCTGAGGCAGGAGAATTGCCTGAACCTGGGAGGCAGAGGTTGCAGTGAGCCAAGATCAGGTCATTGCACTTCAGCCTGGGTGAGAGGGCAAGATGCTGACTCTCTCATTAGGGGCTAATGTACCTGGTGACTTTTTAAGTTGAAGATAATACTCATCTACCATTCTGAAAATCCAAAGTGCCTTAAGAATTATGCTAAATCTTCACTGCTCATGCTCTATAAATGAAACAATAAAGCCTAATGACAGTACATCTGTTTACGGCATGGTTTACTAAATATTTTAAGTCTGTGGAGACCTACTGCCCAGAAAAGACTCCTCTCAAAATATTAGCACTCACGGACAATGCTCCTGGTCACCCTACACCTTTGATGAAGATGTACAGGAAGATGCACGTTGTTTTCATGCCGTTAACATGATATTCATTCCATAGCCTGTGGATCAAGAGTAATTTTGACTCTGGTCTTATTATTTAAGAAATATATTTTGTAAGGCTTATAGCTACCATAGATAGCGATTCTTCTGAAAGACCTGGGCAAAGCAAATTGAAAACCTTCTGGAAAGATTCATCAAACTAGATGCTATGCTATTAAGAATATTTATGATTCATAGAAGGAGGTCAAACTATTTACATTAACAAGAGTTTGGAAGAAGTTGATTTCAGTCCTCATGGATGACTTTGAGGGGTTCAAGACTTCCATGGAGGAAGTAACTGCAGATGTAATGGAAACAGCAAGAGAACTAGAACTGGTTTCTGAAGATATGGCTGAATTGCTGCAATCTCATGATAAAACTTGAATGGAGGAGGAGTTGCTTCTTATGGATAAGCAAAGTAAGTGATTGCTGGAGATGGCAATTACTCCTGGGGAAGATGCTGGGAGTATTGTTAAATGATTACAGAGAATTTAAAAAGTTCTGTAAACTTGGTTGATAAAGCAATGGCATGGTTTGAGAGGATTGACTCCAATTTTGATAGAAGTTTTACTACTGGTAAAATGCCATCAAACCTCAATTAATCATCATTGCCTGCTATGGAGAAATCTTTCATGAAAGGAAGAGTTAATCAGTATGGCAAACTTGATTGTTATCTTATTTTTAGAAATTGCTGCAGCTACCCCCACCAATTTTAGCAACCATCATCCTGATTAGTAAGCAGCCATGAACATCAAGGCAAAAAGGTTATTACTTGCTGAAGGTTGAGATGGTCATTAGCATTTTTTAGCAATAAAGTATTTTTTGTAAGGGGTGGGGGCAGGGTCTTACTCTGTCACCCAGCCTGGCATGCAGTGGCACGATCTTGGCCCACTGCAACCTCCACCTCCTGGGCTCAAGCGATTCTCCCATCTCAGTTTCCCAGGTACTGGGACCACAGGTGCATATCCCCATGCTCAGCTAATTTTTTATATTTTTGGTAAGATGAGGTTTTACCGCATTGCCCAGACTGGTCTCGAATTCCTGAGCCTTGCTTCCCAAAGTGCTATGATTACAGGTGTGAACCACTGTGCCCAGCCAACAAAGTGCTTTTTATTTAAGGTATATAAGTTTTTTTTTTTTTTTTGACATAATGTTATTGCACACTTAATAGACTACAGTATAAATGTATACATAACTTTTATTATATGTACTGGGAAACCAAAAATTTTTGTGATATTTGTTGTATTGTGGTAATGTGGAACTTGCAGTATCTCCTGGATATGTCTATCTGGTTATGTAAAGTGAATTATTGGTAGCTTTTCCCAGTTCTTTCATTTTTTAAAAAATAAGTAATACATCCAATGCAGGTATGTACAAACAATAACCTCAAATGTTGAACAATACATGTTTTAGCTAAGCAAACAGGGATGTATGGTTTAAGTAGAAATAGTGTGTACACAATCACTTCTGTTTTGTGAGCAAAAGAAAACTATAAAAAGTTGAATTTCAGAATCAGTACTGGCTGGGCATGGTGGCTAACGCCTGTAATCTCAGCACTTTGAGAGTCTCAGGTGGGTGGATCACTTGAGCCCAGGGGGTCGAGACCCCCCTGAGCAAAGTGGTGAAACCTGATCTCTACAAGAAATACAAAAATTAGCCAGGCGTTGTAGTTGCATGCCTGTAGTGCCAGCTACCTTGGAGGCTGAGGTGAGAGATTTGCTTGAGCCCAGGAGGTCAAGGTTGCAGTGAGTTGTGATGGCGCCACTGCACTCCAGCTTAGGCAACAGAGTGAGACCCTGTCTCAAAAAAAAAAAAAAAAAAGTACTAAGAAACACTGCTTTTCATGTAATGTATCAAAAGATTAGAGGACTCCACAAATAGGCTCTTGGCCTAATTAGTTTATTTGAAGTTTTAAAGTTTTTAAGTATTTGTGTATCTGTGACGCAGAAATAAACCAATTTCAAGATACCAGTTTTAGATCACCTGCAGGTGTATATAAATGTAAGATATTAACATTTGACTGTTGTCAAACCATGCAGACTAGAAGAACATGTTTTCTTGGTTGTTTTTGCAAAGCCTTTTTTCTCAAGGCTGGCTCCTTTGGTGGAAGAACAACAGATCATGTTGCAAAAGGGTGTAGACACAGGGAAGTGTGACTCATTGGGGCCATTATTTTAGTGATCTACCATAATGTTTTATGTCATATGGAGAGTAGCAGAGATATTTTTAAAACCTAGATATAAAGATTATAAATGTACTTTATACTTTACAATGCTGTATACTTTACAATTTTCAGATTCAATGCTTTATACTTAAGCTTTTTAATTTATTGTCATAATTAATACATAGAAGTGGACAATTTTAAAAAATATTGGTACAACCTTCGTATCAGATTACAATGTTAAGAATATTTGCTTTGTTTTTTCATGTCAATAATATATTTTATTTAACCCAATATATGCAAGTATCAGTTAATATGCAGTCAACATAACACATTGACATTTGGCTTATAGATAAATAAAGTGTGTCTCTATACAGAAGGAGGATGTTCACCAAAACAATTGGTTGTCACTATAGTCACCATCCATACTGACATAAAATTTATTGGAATAGTTCTTTACCATTTCTACTTGTCAATATGTTAAAACTCATATTTCCAGTGTAATGTAAAAGTTATTTACAGTGTACTGCCGATATAGTTATATTTTGGATAAAGGGCCTTTGCTACACATGCTGTCTAGTTTTCTTTTATATTTTGGCCTGGTTGAATACAGTCATAATGGTTAAGTTTAATGTCTCAACAAGTGAAGTGTTAGGCAAAGTGGGAATAGCATAATGTGTGTAGGAAAACCATTCACTGGTGTTAAGAGTACTAAATCCTTTTTTTTTTTGAGACAGAGTCACAGTC